AATTCAATCCCATGCAAAGCATGCTGGAAACTTCACTCCATTGGAACATATCCGTAATTAAAACTTACTTAATATTACTAGGTTTGCGACAATTAGAAAATATTCAAATATTACAAGTAAATGAATATTAATGTTCAACTCTTTCCACTCATTTTATTTATTAAATGAAGTAAATGTGTTAATATTAAATATGTACTTAAGTTATCCTTGATACTCAATATTACAATTAAAAAATTATGAGAGTCAATTTATTAGATTTGGCTACACAAGAAAGTCATTTCTTTCAGTCTACCTGCCATGAGTATAACCGCATGCACCATTGGGAGGCGCTATAATCACTCTCGTAGGAGAATTTTGCATTCAAAATCTAAAATAAATAAAGTAATCCAACATCAGCGCCTGAAAGTTCCGCCCCTTCCACTAGGTGTGCAAAGCAGCGGCTGTTGAGTGGTTAAAGTGTCCAACATTTCACACTTCTCTTTAACAGTTTAACAGCGGTTAAGTGCATTATCCAGGAATTTAAAGTTCACTTCTTTTTAGAGTTTTCATTGTGAACGCACTACTTACCCCATTTACACTACAAAAGGCCGAAATAGAATAGTACATAACTAATCATCAGATATGGCAGCTAGCATTAGCCTTAGAGCAAACACACAAAATATGGGCCATATTACAGCTTTGAAACGCCAAATATTTAAGAGGAATTTACTGTACAACAAAAAAAATATTTTGGTCTTTTTTTAACATTCATGCGCTAGTTTTGTCAGCTAGCATTATCCTCAGATATGACATGCAAACTAAACATCACAACTGTTTTTAATAAGACTGAAAAAGAATGTGTATGTCCAATCTCACAAGGAAACATAACAATTTTATGAATTGTCAGTAAAGTGCCTAATTTTTACAATTTATAGAATTACAAACCCCTACACCTCACACCTAACCCTAACCCTCATTGGGGGATGAGCAAATCACACTAAAATGTACGTGAGATTGTGCAAAATATATGAATTAGCCACATAATCAAAAGGTTACAATTGGCCTTTGTTTTCGTCAGTTAACATTAGCCTCAAAGCTAACAAATAAGCTAATTGTCAAAACCACATTTTTGAAATAACCACTAGCATGATTGGACAAAAAAAAATTGTAGCCAGTATTGTTCTTTAGCCTCATTGCAAACACAAATGTAACACTGCAAAATGTTCATTTCAATTTCACAGGGTCTTTAAGATTCTTGTCAAGTGCTTCAGAGTTGTGTATATTTGCGTCTTGTCTGAAAGCAACGTAACAGCTGCGGTTAAGTACACCATAATGTCAGACTGGGTGGCTCTTTTATTGATGGATCAGTTTGCTCCCACTGTAACCCCCCATGGCTGCTATTTGCAAGCTGTTGGTGAGCTCTTTACAGGCTGCTCATTAGACCTTTGCAGACAGTTAGCGTCAAGCTAATCCATACCCAGCCTGAGAAGCGTATTCTTAGAAATATGGGTTATTTGTGGATTGGGTGAGTCATCCCATCTATATCTTAAACTCATTTATGAGCAAAATGAACTCTGAAAACATCCGTGTTGATTGATTGTGCAAGTTTTCCGAAGCTAAATTCACTTATTATTTTGATGCTCCAAAAATGGTCCCTGTAAAATTCTGATGTGCTTGTAAGCGTTAAGAACAAGTCCTTTCTGGAGGTTTGTTGTAAGCCTCTGCTTGGACGTTTTGTGGGTTGTGTTTAGGTTTAAGGCTTGGTTTATATACCAATGTGCTTTATCGGTTGATATTCAGCATTTGGCACTGACTGTCTGATGAGAAAGATAAAATGGAATAAAATGGATGATATGAAAGATCTGCTGGTCCCTCGTAAAGGTAAATTTGGGCGGTACTCAACAAAACATGATCGTAGATCAACGCAAAAAAAACATTTTCCATCATTGCCAAACTGTATAGTACAGCTGTTAATATTGCGGATAGTTGAAGCCACAGGTACTTATTCTGCTTGATAAGTAAAGCTTTCATCGGATAAATATGTTTAAGTGTTCAAACTTCATTTCGCACATGCATAAATAGTTATACTCAGCATTTGTTCTCTGGAATGTGGGACAGTTTAGCAAAAAAATAAATAAATAAATGACAATGGTTAATGGTCCGTTCCCTCACTTTTTTTTTTCTCTTCATGAATGAAAATGTCTGAACATGCTCCTAACAATCTCCAATCCACATATTCTACTCCACTAAAATAGTATAGCTTTTAAAATACTTTTTTTTCTTAGTTTTTTTTCTATTTTTAAATATTCTGAAACCCAGTAGCTATAAATGTAAAAGGAAAAGAAATCAAAGTCCCTTTCCTCTTCCGACCTGAAGCAAAAATGTATGCTTTTTTTTTTTTTTTTCTCTTTAAAAGTATGTCGTTAGTAGTAGTTTGTAGTTTTAGTATTGTTATTAATACCATATATTTCTGTTGAGGAATAAAAATGTTTGGTCCTTTGGTCCCTTTGGGGTGAAAGATTTATCAGTTTCACTGAGGGCATGGAAACCTCTGTGACCACAGAATGTCCTGCGTTTGCTGAAAGATGGTGACAGAAGTAAAGAGGGAAAGAGAAAGAAAGTCCACTAGCGGGACAAGAAGAGCTTCTTTTTTTCCACTGCATTTTTCCTTGGTCTTCAAGTTTAACCCTCATTTGTCCAGTGTAATAAAAGCCATAAGCGCCTCTTCCTTTAAATAGCATATGTGTGTATAATATGTATATAGAAATCGAAGTTGTTCTCGCTCGTGTTTTTTTCTTTTTTCTTTTTTCTTTTTTTTTTAGTTTGTTGCTTGACTGACGGTTCGAAGCTCAGCGAGAGACAGGACGTGTCGAGTTCTCTGTCTTTAGAGAGATCTTTCCTCTTGTCTTTCTTGCCGTGCTGTGCCGAGTGTGGTTTTGTCCACTGGTGTCGGTTCACCCGCAACCCTCCACTGTACTGAACATCTTCGGAAAATAAATACTGATATGTCTTCAAAAAAATCCATTCTTGTTTGTTTTGAAAGAAAAAGTTAAATTCCTTTTGAATTCAAATCCTGCGAATCTCTTCAAATCCTGTGAAACAAAATTCCATTAGAGATAAAGTCAGTTATACAATTATACTCAAGAACTAGTATTAAAATGAAACAAAAACAAAAAATACAAGAATTAACAATAATAATGAATAATAATATAATGTATAATGATATAAAAGGTACTTTAAGATATAGAAAAGAAGTTATAAACAAATATACGCATATATATATATATATATATATATATATATATATATATATATATATATATATATATATATATATATATATATATATATATGCAATATCACACGAGTAGCAGTGCGATATGGCAGTATATCGGCACTGGTGGGAGGTGTGTGTTGCACTTGCCTTAGTGCCCCCACCAGTGCCGTTATACAGCCATATTGCACTGCTACGAGTGTGAAATTGTGTTTATACAACAGTTTGACGGCATAATTGTGTATATAAAAACAAAATCAAACATGGACAGTCTCAAAAAACCCTTTTATATGAGGACTTATGAGACTTTTCTTTCACGTTGGATTCAAATCATATGCTGACAGTTAAACAGCTGAACAAGCATCTTTTAATCTTTAGATCTGTAGTGTCTGCTTTTTGCTGGCAGTATTTGGGTGGAGTAATACACAAAGGGTAAAGAGGCTGTACGGGTGCTGATATTACTTAAATATATCACGGCTATCAGACAGTCAGATTTGAGAATCAGACAGAACTGCTGTATAAATATATATATATATATATATATATATATATATATATATATATATTTATTTATTTATTTATTTATTTAGTTATATATGTTGGACAACCTAATGTACTTTTGATGCTTTTTTAGTCGAGAATGTAGTTGTTTAGATTGCAACTATGCAGTTTATTTATAAGGATAGTGCCTATTTTAAAATATTTACAATTTATGAAAGACAGCGTGTCAGCGGCCATTAGCCTGTCTTTGAGCAAAGACAGTTGATGATGTTGATGATCCACAAGATAGCGACAGAGACAGCACAATAAACCCTGAGAGAAAAACTAAAGCTGATCAAATCGTTATTAAATAGGTAAATGACTTTCTAAGTCGATCTTTCTCTTTTGTATGTTATACTGGGAAATCTCTGTAGACTGATAGCATTTCATTACGTTTAGCCTCATAATCTTAAATTGTGAGCAAAATCACCTGTTTTGCCACCACTTTAGACATTACGCTGGAGAATTATTCAAATATTAGCTCTAAAGTGACGTTAGTGACTGAGCAACAGTTTCTGCTGTTTTGATGTCAGCTGCAGATGTGAATGAATGGCAGAAGAAAGTAGTTCCTCTTCCAAAAGGGTTTTGAGACTGTCCATGTTTGATTTTCTTTTTCTACACAATTATGCCGTCAAACTGTTGTATAAACGCAATATCACATTAGTAGCAGTGCCATGTGGCTGTATATTGTCACTGGTGGGACACTAAGGCACCCGGGGCCTGCTGCCTCGTGCCGACGCATGCCTCCCACCAGTAACGATATACAGCCACATTGCACTGCTACTTGTCTGTATGTGTGTATATATATATATATATATATATATATATATATATATATATATATATATATATATATATATATATAGACAGACACACAATTATTGATATTAACACAGAAAAATACTAATAATGATCATTGCATTTTATTTCAGGAATATCAAACAGACACCTTTTGGGAATTACAACATTTCATAATAATGTTTATATATAATATTTATATAATAGATATTAAAAAATAAGAATTCAAATATTTAGATATTAAAAGTAAATGTACATTTATATCAATGAAAATAAAATATGTTTAATATGTATTAGATTAAAAAAAAGTTAGTTTACAGTTACACACAACACACAAACATACAGAAAACACATTAACAGGACATAGATTAGCTGCATTCATATTAATACCTGTGCTGTTGCTGAGAGCCCAGTATGTGTTGGGCCCTGTCAGTATGGGCGGCTTGCGTCCTTCGGCCGTTTTAACTGCACTTTCAACCTCTTCATGCCAATCTGAAAGCCATTCATAGCCTGGATTGCAGCTTGTGCACTTGCAGGGTTATCAAAGCTCACAAAGCCTGCAAGAAACCACAAAAAGAAATATGAACCAAGTTGTTTGGATACAAAAGATTTACATACTCCATTATATTTGAAATGCAGCAAGTTTCCAACAAATCAAAAATGGCTCTTTAATGAACAAATCAACTCAGAATATCCATACATATGGATAACGTATATAAACAAATATATTATTGTAAAGCATCTTATACATAATATTCATTTAAAAGAGAGATCTATGATGGGTGTGTTCATTTTCGCTGAGCACTATATATATATATATATATATATATATATATATATATATTGCCACTGGTGGTATAGAACAGGGACAAATTGCCCCAAAGGACCCAAAAAAGTGGGCCATGCTCAACACACAAACCACATTCATCCACAACAACCCCAACTTCCCACTTAAACCTATCGGCTACTAAAAGCCAGTGACCAAAAAACCCCATTGAAGTGTGGATGCACTTTCGCTGGCATTACATCAGTAAACGCCTGTGAACCATGAAAAACAGCGGGAAGCTTTCGTCGGTCATCAGCCACCTGGGAACAAATTGGCCTAGGTGTCTAAAACAACCCTATTTCCAGGCTTGTATCTACAAGAAAAGAGGGTCCACGTGGAGGTGAAGTTGGGGATGAAGCCACAATGCTGCTTAATAGGGAATCTATGTATGTCAGTGCTCTCAGCCAAGTCCCATCGGTCCATCTCGAGCCGCGGCCCCCACCGCAGATTAATTACTCTACCGAGCGCCTGTTACCCAGACCTGACATTATGCAGTAAATGCATAGTGTATAAGTCAATACCGCAAATAGGTCCTACTTCACAAATTTATATCTTATTAACCTCCCCCAGGAGACGGGAGCTGCTATTAATTGTGGCTTGGGAAATGTCTCCCCCTGGAGCGGGAACAGATGTTGATCCATAATGGGCCTTTTTGCTTCACTTAGGACTTTTTTTCTGGCTCAGGGATTTTTAAAAGGCAGTTCCTTTCTGGTTTGTGGCTTGACATAGAATACAGTTTACATGGGGGAAAATGACAGAGACTGATTACCAGACGATCTGGGATGGACTAAGTGTGGAAGTGTTACTTAATTCATGTAGCTGCTTAAGATTTAGCATGTTCTAATCAGAGCTTTTTTTAAATCTTGCACACCTTTTTAATAAAAAACAACAACAAATATAACAATTAAATTAACGTCAGCAAGTAAAATACCCTTGTAGAAAGCACACACACAACACCAAATGAGTTTTTCTATAGACATAATCATTTTGCATTTATAAAAATATAATTTATGCTTGTTTAATACTTTTTTATTGTTTTTCCTCTTCTGAATACTGCTAAAAATAAAAGATTTGAGGACATAAAATATGTTTAGAATTTTAGTAAAAATAACATTAGTTCCGAATGGATTATACTCCACATTAATGCACATTTTGCATTATACACCACTTCTTCCTCAATTTCCATGTTTCCATCCTGTTTTTAGGATCTTATTTGCTTGGTTTTGGCAGATACAATACTTAATTATTGAATGACTGTGCTCACCTGTGTCTTGTTTGGTTCCTCATTTAGCATTTGTATTTAAGGGTGTGTTTACAGCAATGTACTAAAAACTAAAGAGAGAACTAAACTCGTGAATGACAATAGACTGCCAAGACACATGCACATGATGTCAAAATTGTCACTATATCACATTTACAGGAACAGTATCGATTTCAAAAGTTTGTGTTTCGGTCTCTCAAAATGACTAATATGAGAAAAAAATCTATTACTTGGTTTATAAATGTTACACGTGAGATCCTCTGATCTTGATGCAACATAATTCTTATAAATAAGTTAAACACACACACACACACATTTGTATCTATATATAATTTGTCTATACATTTCAGAAAAGATGCGTACAAAAATGCATGATTATTGACCTTATTCTTCACATACAAATCTTTTTTGCTCGAGACTTCCTGTCTCATTCACGTCCATTCATATTTAGACGTTTAAAACAACTTATTATGCTGCTTGATGTTGCAAACTGATATTTTCTTATTATATTATTCTGCTTTGTCTGTAAAGTCATATAAACATTTGTGTGTAGAGTGAGTAGTCTGACCATTTTCTGTCATTTATTATTTCTAGTCTTTTCTCTAATAGGCAACTTAATCTTAAGTTCTAAAACAATTGCAAAAACAAGCGCACTTCCACAATAGAATTAAGGTCAATAGGTAGATAGAAATGAATCGATTTTTCTTTTACCGAAACACTTGCTCTGGTTGGTGGCTCTGTCCATGAAGACCTTTGAGGAGATGACTGTACCGAATGGAAGGAACATCTGCATAAGCTCATTGTCACCAAACTCTTGTGGTAGATGATAGATGAAGAGGTTGCAACCCTCTGGTCCTGCAAAACAAAGACATTTTTACTCACTCAGGAGTCTTCATTCAAAACAAGTCACAAAGACAACAGATACAAGACACCTGAGTTAACCCGCCTGATCTCACAAAGAAATGTAACTATTTTACTATTTGTCAGTACAATTTGTAAACTAATTCACACAAATGCATACAAACGTTCAGTCATATGAAAATGTAAGATTTTAAAAAGGTGGCATGGCACCCGACCCCACCCCTAAACCCAACTGTCATTGGGGGATAAGGAAATCATGTTAAATTGTATGATCGAGATTAGAAAATCATCCTCAAATACTGTCAAGTTGTTACGCTAGAGCTAAAATCACACATGCATTTTTGAATACAAAATTTTATCAAATAAAACATTAGTATAAGATGCACATTCTGATTATTTTAGCTATATAAACACTTCTGTTATAATAATGCAAACACTGTTAACCTTTATGCAAAAGAATGAATGTAAAGTCTCTCACCCTCACCTTCTCTCTGCTGCTGCTGCTGAATGACTTGTGGTGGCTGTGGCAAGCTTTGGCCAATAGGGGTCAGTGTGGTAGCTGGGTAGATGGCTGAACGCACAAAGAAAAAGAAATGTGTGTGAAAACATGGGCTGGATTTATGCGATACAGCACAGAACAAGGCTACGAGAAAGAGAAGAGAATGAAAGAGAGAGAAATGGACGGATGGTTGGTCAAACACAACTACCCATTTTAAGTAAGCAGCACAATAAATAAGTAAATAAATAAATGAATAAATAAATTCACATACTGTATAAATACAAGGGATGTTCTCTGATATCTGATAGATCTGCATTTTAGGGGGACAAATTCAAAGAGAATCAAACACCATTTTCAACAAAACAAACCTCTGTTCTCATAAAATGTACAAAATGTCAGGATAGGCCTAAAGATTTGCTATACATTTGCGGATATGCTCATTTGTTGTTATGTGGTTCTTACCTTTTTTGGTTTGTAACTGTCAAAAGCAAACAATCCAGGATACATTTATTTGCTACTTGATGATGGTTGTATTGCAGTTGCAGAGTTATCAAATCATATTACTGTAGATGAATTTTACTGTTTTAGGAAAAAAAATTGGTCTGTTGGGGATCGGTTTTTGGCCCAAAAAGTCCAGTCAGGTTCTTTATAGGATTCGAACATGCCAAAGTTGACAATATTTGGCAGATTTTGCATCCTGCCTGTCTCGTGTTTGGCCATATGATTTTTTACTTTAATTTTTTTTTTTTTTATAAAAAATTATTAAGCACAATAGTTTATAACCAAAATGTAATCCTGCACCGTTCATCAAAAACAATGTTCATCTTAAATGCAATGAAAACAAATATAGTGAACGTAAACAGACTATACTATAAATAATGTGCAATAAAGAGGTTTGAATCTCAACCCTAACTGCAAAATGGAAATATCTTTGTGACTTTCTAACATGCAAAATTCTTCCAAAATTACTGTAGTTTTGTTATTTAAAGCATGTTTGTTGTTCCATAAAAAAAGTGACCTGTTTTTAGGTTTTTATATACATCTTTACACCATAGAACACCTGTTTGACTTCAGACACATAAGAACACATTACATTAGTTATAAATTAGTAAAATTTGGGAAGAAATTATATCAGACATTCAAAGAATGAAACAAATGTTACAATTTAATATTAGTGGTGGTTCTAACTTAGAGTATGAAGTCTAAAAAAAGAGCTTTTTAAATTAAAACACTTCAAGGGTAGGCTATATCTGCCAGATCGGCAACTGAAAATTTTCCTGCTTATGCAAATGTGCATTTCCTATGATATGAACCATTATACGGTGGTCAAGTGTATTTTTATTATATTTATTATATTAGGCATGTGCCGGTATAATAACCTTGAGTAAAAAAATGACGATATGACGGTATCACGGTATTGTGCTTACTGCTGTAAAATAATTTCTTTTTAAATGTCTTAGTAAAAAAACAGCAACCCTTTTCCCCATTTACCACAATATATTACATTTTAGGAAACATTTATAATATTTTGGAACAGTAAACATGTCAGGCTACATAAGTAAAATGAACCATTGACTTCTATTTTCATTAGCTTCAAAAACACAGATTTCCTTAAAGCACCTAAAAAGTAACTTTAAAAAACCCTCTACATATACCTTAAAAATGGTATAACAAAACATTTTTGCGGTTTTAATATCTTGACTTTTTCCAAAACCTTGAAAATGGTTATCGTCTCATGCCTAATATATATATATATATATATATATATATATATATATATATATATATATATATATATATATATATATATATATATATATATATATATATATATATTACTCAATCAAAATCGAAATAAATAATCAAATCAGGTGACTGAAACCAGAATTTCCATATATATCCAGGTACAGTGTTGCCATGTGGCCACTAGGGCTTTGCGACTTAGAAATAATATCTTACTGCGATTTTTTTTTTGACAGATATTGCAATTTCAATTGATTTGCAATTTAATTTTGTAGTCAAGATTCAGCATACTTTAACATTTATTAAATAATTAATATTAATATAATATTAATATAATATATAATATTAATATAATAATTTTTATATAATAATAATAATAATAATTAATATAATATTAATTATATTCAGAAATGAAACACAATTTTTTCTCTAGAGCAAGCAGTACCTTTCTGTAAACAAGCTGAACTCAAATTAGGGAGATAGTGTAGCTTATTATACAAACAATAAATAATACTAATTATAAAAATACAGAACACTCAGCAAACTAACAATGCTGAAACAATCGCTTGCTACTAGATTGAGTGTCACTAACAATACTTTCAGTTGACTTTTTAGCAAGACACTCATCATCACTCAATTGTGCTCACTCAATTGCTAGTAAGGCTATCACGCATTTGCTCTGGGCAGGGAAAATTAAATAATACAAAAATATTTCATATCGCAGCCCTTTGTGATTAGTAAATCGCATAGTTTCAAATTGCGATTGAGATTCGATTAATCGCACAGCCCTAGTGGCTACTAAAACTGGAGTTCTTGCCTCATGACGTCAGCTAGGTTAACACTAAATGCGGAAGATGCGATTGAGGAAAATTACACACATTCACCCCAAAGTTGTCCAGTTAACCACATTTGCATCAAAGTTTATGTAATAAACAAATACTTATTTCCACATTTGGAGTAAACCTAGCAGAAAGGCTTTTATCGCCACCTGTTGGTTTGCTGTGCCCTTACATGCATCACAGTGCATTTTTGTTCAAACACTTATAGACATCACCTAGCTGTTGCAGATTTGGTGTCTCGTGTTGCAAAGCCAGTGATGCTGGAGGTCACAATTCTCTCAGAACAACCATACCTCACATGAGGTGGTACTAAAAAAGTACCAGATATTAAGTATGTAACACAGAAGAAAAGCCCCTAAAAGTAAGCTGTACCATACAATTCAGTGGAAAATTAATAATTGAGGTAGCTCACCTGTATATTGCTGCACCCCAGTGAAGGCCTGCTGTAGGGTGTCTGCAGCCGTGGGGCTTTGGGTGGAGTATGGGGGCAGACCATTGGTGTACACGGCCTCCACTGCAGGGTGACCGTTGGGCTGGTGAGGGATGCTGGTAAAGCCGTTGACGATAGGAGTGACAATGCTGGGGACGGCTGATGTAGTGATGTTGGCAGGCGGTGAGCTGAGGCCTGCTGAGCCAGAGAAACAAATACACACTCTAGGTCAGACGCTGAAACAGTTTACGAACAATGAATCATGTTCAGTTCATATTAAGACATGCAATAAGTATACATAGATTAGGGCATTGTGGATGTTGGATGAGTTGAAAATTTTTTGATGTAATAAATGACAGTAGTTGCATACCAAATGGCACACTATACACTATTCGCTTATGCACTATGCACTTACACTCTCAACAGCATAGTATATGAATGGAGCGTCGACCCAAACGGAACACTAATGTTTTTTTTTTTACTAAGTGGAGATTCAAACCGTTTCCCTGATGACATTTGGCGGTTGCCAAATTAGCAAAACGAATGACCAAACTACCAAATAATACCTGCCATAAGTATTACCGCATTCACCATTGGGAGGCGCTATAATTTCTCTTTTAAGAGAATTTTGCTTTCACATTCCAAAATTAATAAAGTAATCCAGCATCAGTGCCTAATAGCTCCACCGCTTGTGCTACTTGAGCAAAGCAAGCAGCCATTGAGTGTGTGAAGTATCCAACATTCCACACTTCCTTTTACCGATTGGATAAGTGCTTCATCCTAGTAAATAAAGTGCACTTATTCTTCTTAGTTTTCAGTGTGAATGGACTACTATTTATAGTACAAAATGGAGTAGAATAGTGCATAAGTATGCGATTTGGAATGCACCTTGTGTTTTCTTTGGGCTAGCTAGCTAGCTTTAAGGCTAGAGGTGCTATGGTGTTAAGCCGCCTTTCCACTGCACACGACAAGCGACAGACTGGAAGTTATTCATTTCCAATAGAAATACGTGGAGTTCAGATCGTCTCCATATGCGAAAAAATTCGAATACAGTTTGAGCTGTGGATACGTTGAAATATTTAAACTCTTGCGACTAGACCGTATGCTAAGCGTAACCTAAACCGTATGCAAGATGAAAAATAGTAGTTTTTTTCGTTATTTTTTGAGTGAAAAAAGTCAATATTAAAAAAAAACATTTCTATTTATAAATGAGTATTAAAAAACATAATGTTTTTATGTTGTCTCAACATTCGCTCCAAATTTTTTAGTGGTCTATATCTTTCTAGTATTTATTCATTCATTATTCCAACCATGTTGAACGCATGGAAAATAAAGGCTCTTGGTTTTGCACTCTTTTCTTTTGGACACTGCGAGAATCAGCTTCTATCCCAAGGTGCATGACAAAACTGACAATTCTATGCGACTGCCACAAGAGGGCGTATTCCAACATGTCAGAATGTCGTACACAGTGGAAAGGCTTTAAACGCTGACAAAATCCCAATTTTATCACGCATATTCACACACAAACACAAAAATGTACTGCACGTTTCGTTTAGCCACTGTTTACATTTAATTATATTTTCACACAAATAAATTCAATACTAGTTGAGTTTGATGCTAAGTCAATCATGACATGTTAGCTTTAAGATATACAAATTATAAATGTTTCATTCAGGTTAGGAAAACATCTTGTTATACTTCCATATTGTTATGTATAAGTCTTTACAATACAATACTGTTTAATGAAAGAAAGCTAACAATAGCTATGTTTCCATCCATCTATTTTTATGTGCATTTTGGATATGCGCATAAAAAACGCTGGTTGGAAACACATGATGCGCATTAGTTTTGAAAATGCACATAAAAAATGTATACGCATAACTGAGTAGGATAAAATTTTTATTCTATAATAATAAAAAAACGTGCATAAACTACAATGGAAACACTTTTACCAAACAAATTCCAGTATGCGCAATAAAAGTGTCATGTGATTTTGTTATAAGATGTCTTGTGATGATAAAAATGTGTGTGAATGAAAAAACTAGTCAGCTGACCACATTGTAAAACATCTGAAATGTTGTTTTAGTCATTCTAAAACGCCTTAACCATTTCAGCATTAGTGTTATTATATTATTAATGACCCCCAGAACTGTCAAGAGCATCTGGCTCTGCATCTCATGCCTTTGCATGTTGGCATTGTCTTCTGAGGCGCAAGTCGTTTTTTAAATTAAGAAAAGAAACACGCAGCTTCTCCTACCGCTCCAAATTACGTTTTTACTTTTGATATTTGGAGCCAGTTAATCAGAAAGTGATGATTATGTTCTCTTTAACTTATTGGATGGAAACACTGCTTTATTAGCGTGTCTTTTATGTGATATTCTAGTTTTGCTCATAAATTTAATTCACATTATTGTATGGAAACATAGCTAATGACAATTTGAAAAAGTAGTCAATAATTGATGTTTGCATTTAAGTTAACTACGGCAATATAACATTAATTTACATGTTTATATTGTTTTAGCACCCCGTTTTTTATGCTAATTTGGGGACTGATGATAGCATATTGCTATATTAAAAGAACAGCATATATAAACAGACTTTTTATTTAAAAATTGAATAAATACTTATTATAATAATAAAATGCATATAAGCACTTGTCAAGCACAAGTTATCATGTAAAAATGACATGAAAGTGTAATACATAAATGAATGTGCACATTGCTAATTTACATACACAGTGTCAATCATTCTGCTGTCTGTTAATGACCCAATCATGGTTACAAAAACATGCTTAAGCACATACAGAATAAACATTTCGTAACAGTCTGCGACAGAATGGTTTAATGGACACCTTGCTAGCATGTGTTTGATCCCAAGCATTGAGTGTTTCTGAACCCCCGGCTGTGCATCAGTACAAACGACAAAACGCTTCCCATAGGATGCCATTTCAATCTGTACTCGTGAACAATGATGGACATGGAGATAGACGGTCGTCATGGAAACCCCCAGCATGCTTCAATTACAGTGTGGCCAAAGACCCTATAGAGAAGTCTTTATAGAAATATAAGCAAGCTGATGGCTTGCTTACAGCATGACGGTGTGTGATGGTTGAAATGAACATTTTATTGATTTAGTGAAAACAATAATGGTCTTTTATGTCTAATAAAAAAGACATAAATTGCTTTCTATTGGTGGCATATCCTAATTGTAATATGTGTTAAAGTACATTAGAAATCATTAAAATGGGCTGGTTTTAAAGGTTAAAATTTGATGGCATGAATGTTTTCGGCACCTATTTCACCCTTTTTTCAAGATAAGTCTTTTGTGTCTCCAGAATGTGTCTGTAATGTTTCAGTTCAAACACCCATCAGAATATTGGGATTTTCTGCTCTGAACACAATGTAGCTGTTTTTGTTGCCTGTGCCTTTAATGCTAGTTCTCTCTGTGCACCGTTACTATGTGCCTGTCAGAGTGTGCCTCAATCTTCACCTTGGCTGCATCAGATAAACTGCTCAGTGACAGACATGAAGGAAGCAGATCTCACGTAACGTTTGTGAGAAATACTACCGTAAGAACTTTCCCAATGATTATTTGATGGATTTGTTGTAGAGTTTGTTCAAGCCTTTCTGCAATGATGAGTCACATGCAGTGTCGTTACAAAGATACAAACATAGACACACACATGTGTGTTTAACTTTGCAGTGTTTTTGCACTGCAAATGTGACAAGATACACATTAATATCCACCGCTGTATGGATATCTGTTATGTAATGTACAAAATAAACCTGATTTAACCAACACAATCTCACGGCAATTCGTAACTTTTTCATTTAGTGGCTAATTCGTATGAATTCGTACGATCTAATTCGTACAATTTAGTACGATTTGCTTTTCCCCCAATGACGGTTGGGGTTAGGGGTGGGGTTAGGTGCCACGCCTCCTTTTTAAAATCGTATCATTTCGTACGACTGAAATCGTACGAATTCGTACGAATTAGCCACTAAACTGGCAAAACGTAAAATACTTACGTTTTCTCGTGAGATCAGGCTGGATTTAACAGGGGATTGAAGAGTCTTTTTTTATTATTGTATTGTTATGTGGCTGTGATGATGAATTACAGCGATTTTACCATCTTTAACTTATTTTATTACAAACATGCACTGTTTTAAAAACATTTTAAACTTGTAAAAGTTATTCTTGATCACGTTTGATGATGACTGATGATCACAGAGAGCTGAACAGATCTTTTAATCCCAGTTCCTTTGGGCACATCTGTCTTTCATCCGTTACTACAGAGACATGTTAATAGGCAGTTGTCTATCAATTCGGTGGGTGGGGAAACTGCACTCCTATGTCATGTTGTGGTCGGCCTCAAAATGAGAGGGATTTTATCCTATTTTTAAAACAGAGACTTATTGTGTTTATATCCTTCCAATATGACTGTGGACACACTATACCTACACACAGTTCTATTCAAACAGCTTACAAAAGATGATTTTCTTCATAGGGGATTTTACAGTGAACCATAAAAACCTGGTGAAGTGTCTCCTGACTAGTTTTTTTTTCTCCACTAGGGAAAGTCTCGAATAGAAACTAAAGGTTCCCAAAACTGTATTCAAGCTTTCCACTGCATTGACCTGTGGGAATTCCAGTGAGGTCTTTACTCTCATTTGTGCCATTTCCTGTTCCTAAGCTTTTTTGCGATTGTTTGCTTCCCACACGGCACATTGATAAATTAGATGACGCCTCTGCTCCATTCTTCCCGGAGCCCAGGAGACCAGGTTTGTTCTGGGATGTCCGACAGGCAGCTTTAGCTGGGCCTACCACACGTGCAGGGCCGAGTGGCAGCTTCATGCTGCTATAATATTGCGAATCTATCATTGTGATGTGACAGTTTGGAGAAAAGCTGAGCGCTGACAGGACAATCCAGCCCGCAGGAAGTTTTAGGAAACAGACTGAGCTCGTGGAAGCTTAGATCATGTTCTGGTTGAGGCTTCAGCAGGCATCAAAAAAAGCTAGTAAGACAAGACAGATGATATGACTCAGGGTACACAATGGAGTTAGCACAGGAAAAAAAGTTGGTAGTTGAGCACAGATCAGTGCATGGCTTTTTCTGTTGTTCTCTGTTAGATAAAACGTTTGAGTGATTTACACAGTTTTGGGCAGGATATGACAATCTAAAAACACAGCTATCGGAT